CCCCCCCACCCGTTGGGCTGCCTCCCCTTCCAGTTCGCCGTGTTGTATTTATTCTGTTTGGCCTCGGCCAGCCGTGGGACTCTGTTGGGGTTCTCTTCCACCATTCCGTGCCCTCCAGCCTCTTTTTGTCTGTTGCACCTGTGAGCGTGGGGTGGGGTGGGGTGTCTGCCTCTTTTCTCGGGGGGGGTGGTCGCCCAGCGTGACCTGCACTTTAAGTACTCCCAAGTTTTTCCCCACAAGATGGGTCCCCTTTCCTGGGACGCTTTTGCCATGTGGGAGGAAGGGAAGCGGCTCTGTGTGTGTGTGTGGGGGGGGGGGTTTCCCTCCTTTCCACCACCTCCCCCCTTGGAAGTAGCTGCTGGGTGCTGCCCCTCCCCCACGTGCTCAGCCAGGCAGGCTTTTCCTCCAGGAGGCCCCCCCCCCTCCACCAAGGTCACCTCTCTCTTCCACCCCAGTGACTCCCGGCTGGTCCTGTGGCCGGTCCTGGCTGACGGGACCTGGATGTGGGTGTTGTGTAAACACCAAGGGCGCCACCTCTTCCTTCCCACTCTCTGAGAGGTGAGGGGGGGGGCGGGGGGCGGCGGGATTGTGCTGGGTGTGAGCCAGGCCGTGTTGTCTGTGACTGGCTCAGTCTGGTGTCCGTCCTTCCCTGTCTCTTGTTCAAACTTTCCTCCGGGGGTGGGGGTGGCGGCAGTCATGTGAGCCTGCTAGTTTGAGGGGGGGGGTTCTTCTGGGCACTCTGGCACCGTCTCTGTTTGTGGGACGTGGGGGGGGGCGTGACTCCTTCAGGCGTGGGGGTCTCCTGGAGGTTTTTGCTCCTAAAAGGGCACCCCTCCCCCCCCACCGCCTGCACATCCTGGAGCTGGGCTGTGGTTCCGCCCCTCGGAGACTGGCAGGCTGGCCTGTTGGCAGCATCTCCTTCAATCCTCCAGGGCCCCCTTACGCTCTGCGAGAGATCCTGGCAGCCTTGGGCTGGGGGGTGGGGGGAGTGCCTGTGGGGGTGGGGTGGCTGGTGGGCACGTGGGGGTCTTCACTGTCCCTTCAGTCACTTGTGCAATAAACGGTGTTGGATCCTGTCCCATCTCTGCTGTTTCAGTTCCTCTTTCTTGGCGGGGGGGAGGGGAGATTCCCAGCCAGCAACTTGCCTTTCTGCTGGAGGGGCCAGTCTTGGACTTATTGAAGCACTTATCTCCTGCTGTTCACTGGGAGTGGGGCTGGAGGTAGCGGAAGGTGGCAGAGGAGGACCTCTCCCGTTGCCAGCATGAACAGGAGCCCTGGGGGAGCGCCCACCTGGCCACTCGGGCATCTCACTGCAACTGGCAGTTGCTAAAATTGGCTCTGTGTGTCAGAGTGAACCAGCTCTTGCCTTTGGGGTGGTTGGTGGCCCATACAGATAAATAATCTGAGGTTTGGGTGGCGGGGGAGGTCTCTGCTGGCTAGAAAGGCCTCTCTCCTGGTCTGCCCACGGGGCTGGGCCAGTCTCTCAGTCAACGGGAGCCCGGAAGGGAACCTGCCTCCTCCTGAGTTTGGGGGGCTGAGGGGAGTCCATCAGTGGCTGGTCTGTGGCATCTGCTGCTAAAAGCCGAGGTCCTTTGGAATTGCTGCACGTGGCCGTCCCTCTCCCAAGAGTCGCTTACTTCCTGTGGTGATGCATCTCCCAGGAGGGTCTCTGTGCTTTTATTGTGTCTATAATGATGGGCTGAATCTTGTGTCCCACCCTCCCCTTTCTTGTATGTTGCTCTGACCACATATGGTGGGAACACGTGCTCTGAATAGGCTGACTTGTTCTCCCGTCGCTGAGTCAGGGGCCAGCCTGCCTCATGCAGCTGACGAGCTTCCTGGGACCGGGACGGTTCAGTTTGCTTTCAGTGCTTCCCCTTGGACAAGTACCCCCCCCACACACACACACACACAATCCCCCCCTCCCAACTGCCAGTAAGAAAATCCGTGTGTCCAAGGCTTGCTGTAGAAAGAAACTAACAGCTCATTACAGGGGCAAAGAAAGGCAGAATGAATGCCCTCTGCAACACCTCTTGTGGACAGGATTTCTGTCTGCTGATGCCTGTGAAGCAGAGTTCTTGCTTCAGTGCATATCAGAAAAAAAGAACCTGCCCCCCACCCCATCCTGTGCCATTTGCAACCGGAGCAAGCCAGTTTGGTGTCATGGTTAGGAGCACAGAGAACCAGGTTTGATTCCACACTCCTCCACAGGCAGCTGCTGGTGTGACCTTGGGTCAAGTTCTTTCAGAGCTGTTCTCTCAAGAGCTCTCTCAGCCCCACCTACCTCACAGGGTGCCTGTCTGTTGTGGAGTGGGGAGGGGAAGGGAAAGGGCAATTGTAAGCCACTCTGAGACTCCTTAGGGAAGTTTTAATTTCCCTAAATGTTAGCTAAGTATAAAAAGGTAAAGGTCTCCCTTGCTCGAAAGCCAGTCGAATCCGACTCTAGGGTTGCGGTGCTCATCTCCGTTTCAAAGCCGAAGAGCCAACGCTGTCCAAAGATGTTTCTGTGGTCATGTGGCCGGCATGACTAAACACCAAGGCACACGGGAATGCTGTTACCTGAGTGCTGGCTAAGTGTAGTGCATTATAAATCAACCAAGCAATACAACAAGAATCAAAAGTGTGTAGTAAATTTAGGTAGCATAATCAGTCGCTCCCCCTTCCCCCAGTGCTGGCAGGTCACAAAATACAGGGCTGCATCTCCCTTTCAGCCCCCTCATAACTGATGCAGCTGGAAAGCATGAGCTGCAACCTGGCCTGCGTGCAGTCACTCTGGCTCCATAGGTCACCTAAAAAGAGCTTGCCGGATCAAGCCGGTGGGGCTCCATCGAGTCCAGCAGCCTGTCCCACACAGAGGCGTGGAGGCCAAGGCCTTACCCTGATGCGACCCAGAGGTTAGCGGCCTCTGAACTCTGAACTGGGGTTTTGGTTTCACTTTCCCTTATGGACTAAAGAGACCCAATTTGTCCCTGGAAGTGTGGGTTGATAAAACAACAGAGGGTGTGCATCATGCATCTGGTGAAGCAGGCCTTGCGCTGTGAACAGTGTCCACCTTGGAGACAGATCAAGATGGGTAGAAGAGAGCAAGAGTCCAGGAGGCACCTTAAAGACTAACAGAACTGGTGGCAGCAGGGGAGGAGCTGTCGTGAGTCACTGCTCACCTTAAAGACTTACCAACATTTCTGGGCTGTTAAGTAGTTTATCATTGTGGGGGAGAGGTTGTTTTAGGTTAGCAGGCTGTCTGTTCTTTGGGCTTGTCTTGTAGCAAGCTGTCCCTGGGTATCCTTCTGGCTTTTCCTGTCATCTTCCTCGCCATATCAGGAGGATATTGTAGTTGCAAAATGCCTGCTGCAGATCCTTCAGGTGAGTCTCTCTGTCCGAGAGGTTGGAGCAGAGGCACCTATAGTGTAGGGCTTGGCTATACCCAGTGGATTGTTTGATGTGGTTGGGTTATAACTGGAGGCATGTGGATATGTTTGTCGATCTGCCAGTTTCTGGTATAATGTGGTACATAAGTGTCCCTCGTGTATCTGTACTGTGGTGTCCAGCCCAAAGAAAGCAACAACAGAACACCAGGGGGGGTCACCCACAGCTCACAACTCAAGCCAGTTCAAGGCATTATGGTCAGGGACCTGCCTACTTGAGGGACTGCCTTTCCCCATATGTGCCCCAAAGAGCACTGTGGTCAGGAACACAGCATCGCCTGCCTCTTCCTGGCCCAAGAGACGTCACGTTGGCTGCTACTAGAGCCAGGGCCTTTTCAGTGGCGGCTCCATACTGGTGGAATGAGCTCCCGGAGGAGATCAGGGTCCTGCGGGAACTTTTACAGTTCCGCAGGGCCTGCAAGACGGAGCTCTTCCACCAGGCATTCAATTAGGAGCCGCCACCCCACTACCACCAACATCGGTGGCTATGGATTGGCCTGGGCCTGGAGAATGCGCCGCACTACTGCGCAATGCCAAAGACCACGGAATTAGAAAAATTGGTTGTATGTTATACAATATGCCATTTGAACTACTGATAGACGATCATCAGCACTAGCACTTGTTTATGGGATTGTTTTAAATGTTTTGGAATGTTTTAATCTTTGTATGGTTTTATGGTACTGGGTACCAATTCTGTAAACCACCCTGAGCCCACTCGTGGGGAGGGCAGGGTATAAATAGAATAAAAAAATAAATTATCCATGCTGGGTAGTGGCCCTTCCCTTTCTTGCCTACAGAGATCCTGCTAACCTAAAACAGCTTCTCACCCCCAATGACAAAGGACCTAACAGTCACAGGGACTCTGGCACCAAGGCCTGCAGCAAACCCAAGACGCCAGCTTTGCTCTCAGACACACATCCCAGCAGCAGCACCATCAGTGGGCCCAGCAGCACCATCAGCCAGACCATCTCAGGTTCCCACGCCTGCTCATCCTCTAATCACGTGATTTATGCCGTCACGTGTCAGCGATGCCCTTCCACTCTCTATGTGGGACAAACGGGCCAAATTCTTCAACAAAGAACTGTGATGGACATACGTCTGACATCAGAAACAACAACACTCAAAAACCAGTGGAGGAACATTTTAACCTTCCATGACATTCAGTTGCTGACCTAAAAGTAGCAGGTATCTTTTGAAGGGATTTCAAAGGGAGATTAGAAAGAGAGTGCTGATTTACAAGTGATAATGAAGCTCAAGACAATGCATCCACCTGGACTGAACTGAGACCTAGGTTTCCTGTCTCACTACCAATGCTGATTTCTCCATGCCTACTATTCCTCTGCAACACCTTCTATTGTCATTTGCCCACTAATGTCATTTGGTATCTTAAAATACTCTACTTTCCATCGGATAGCAGTTGGTTGCAACACTCCCAGTCTGTCTGGTCAGATGTTTCTTTTACAAAATATGTGATATATTTGTTTCAGATCTTATTGTATCAGTTGCCTCTAAATCGAAGTATTACTGGATCTGTGGCTAAATTTTGGGCGGCATGCTATCGTATCAGAAAGGTGCAGCTAAATTTATAAAATGATGTGTGTGCGTGCGTATCTATCTATCTATCTATCTATCTATCTATCTATCTATCTATCATCTATCTATCGTTCCATTTTACCCATATTTTAACACTCTGTATCCTAATGTATTATGGTTATGCTGGCTCCATGCCGTAATAAATACATCCATCTATCTATCTTCTCTACTCTACTTTCCAATATATAGGACAGATGGACTCACATATCTGACTAAATGAGCTGTGACTTACGAAAGCTCATACCCGACCACAAATTTTGTTAGTCTTTATGGTGCTACTAGTTTCTACCTTGTGCATTCCTAATCCATCCTATCTCCAGGGTGCCCAAAGTGTCAGTGTGTGCTAGGGGTGCCAGCCTCCAGGTGGGGCCTGGGGATCCCCCGTATTTACAACTGATCTACAGCCAACAGAGATCAGCTCCCCTGGAGAAAAGGGCTACTTTGGTGGGTGGGCTCGGTGGCATTGTGCCATACTTTGGTGGGTGGGCTCGGTGGCATTGTGCCAGCGTGAGGCCCCTCCCCTCCCCAAACCCCGCCCCCTTCAGGATCCACCCCCAAAGTCTCCCAGGTATTTCCCAACCTAGACACCTGGCAACCCTAGTGTGTGCAGTTCTCACTAGTGGCCCAGCATCCCCAGGGGGAGGACAGGGGTGGATGGGCAGTGGGCACCCAACCTGCCAGCCATCCCTGGGGCCTGTGGGCTCCTTTGGAACTTTCAAAAGGGTGGGGTCGGGGCCCTGTGCGGAATCCCTTCCTCCTGGTAAAGGTTCCCTTGCTCGAAAGCCAGTCGAATCCGTTTCCAAGCCGAAGAGCCAGCGCTATCCGAAGACGTTTTGGTGGTCATGTGGCCGGCATGACTAAACAACGAGGCGCACGGGACGCTGTTCCCTTCCCACCAAAGTGGTACCTATTTATCTCCTTGCAATTTCTTGCTTTCGAACTGCTAGGCTGGCAGGAGCTGGGGCCAGAGATGGGAGCTCACTCGTCATGCGGCACACTCGGGTCTCCAACTGCTGAACTACTGACCTTCCACAGCCTGCAGTTCAGCGTCTTCACCACTTGAGCCACCGCAGCTCCTTTCCTCCTGGTAGCTTCCAGCAAGAAAACAGTTTGAGTGACAGCCAAATTAAAATACGCTCTCTCTTCCCCCCCCCGCGCACGCGCACAGAGACCCAGGCCGGCCCCTGTCTCAGCGCCGCCCGCACCATAGAGCGCGGCGGAAGGAGCGGTCGTGGGAGAAGCGCGGAAGGAAGGAGCGGCCGTTGCCATGGAGAGCGGCCCGTTCCCGCCCCGTCTCCTCCCCAGTCCCGGCTGGGCTCCGGGCGGCGGCGGCGGCGGCGCCTAAAGGAGCCGCCATGACCTCGGCCTCGACCAAGGTACCGCCGCGACGGGTGAGGGGGCGGCGGCGGCGGACTTCCTTGGGGCGCAGCAGGGAGGGGGGAGGCCTCTGGGCATACGCAGAGTGCCGCCTCCCGGGATGGAGGCGGGGCTGCCCGGAGGCGCTCTGCACGGGCTCAGAGGGCGGGCGGAAAAGGCTCCCCCCCCCCCAAAAAAACCCCCCAACCTCGCCTCTTTCTCCCTCCCCGGCAGGTGGGCGAGATCTTCTCCGCGGCGGGCGCCGCCTTCACCAAGCTGGGCGAGCTGACCATGCAGCTGCACCCGGTGGCCGACTCCTCCCCGGCAGGGT